AAAAAAAAAAATGCCCCTGCAAGTTGAAACCAAGCAAAGCGATCTTAATCAATGGAAGAAATTACCATTGTTCCATGACCTTTAAAATTTTTGTCAAACATCAAAAACTATTGTCACTTATGCATAGGGAAATGGAAAAAATAACAAAACTAATATTTGTTTAATATATTGTAATCTGAATCATCAGAAAAATTGAGAATCATTTTTTCTTTGTAAAAAACTTACCAAGAGTAATTTGAACAGCGCTTGCCTCTTTTGTCTTATAATATGGAACAAGTGTCTTCATTATGTCTTGATGAATTGTCATACTCCTTTTTAAGTTTGGATTAGCTTCCAACACCCTATTCTTTGTACTTTGAACCTCATGAAGTATCTCTAAGAATTCCTTTAATGTGAAGTGTTTTGGTGGCTTCACTTCTATGGGACATCTTCATCCTTTTTGTCACAACCACTTTCCTCATTGATGTAGATACAATTGCCTTCACCAAGTGCCTCTGGCTGCATACCTATACTCTCTCATGACAGCCGTGTCAACATTCCCACGATCAGCTATTTCTTGTCTAACTCCATTTATGTTTAATTTGAATTTCACTTCCAGCATTATCATCTTTCATTTCTTTGCTACATTTTCATTTTGTTGGCCAATTCTCAATTATTCATTTTTTTAAATGTCACATGGGTTTATCACAGGGAGGCAAGGAAGCAACACAGCTACGTTCTTTGCTGTCTGTGTATGTGCAGTGACTAATCACCAACACACTGAAAGAAGTGACATAATTCACTGCTCATGATGAACATCCAAAAAAGTTGATTCTGACATTTTTTACAGCATTCTTATTGCTTTTAGGAAGGAGAGAATTTGTGGAGGACCACCATTTCTACTGACGTCACCTGTTCCTTTTGTATTTGCTTCTAAATTTATTAGATAGAAAGTTATAGATTTAAATGTGATATAAGTCCCAAATTTCAATAACATCTATAAAACTAAGACTCTATAGCTGTCGATGTGATGTTTTCCTTTCTCTCTCTTTCCTGCCTAACTTTTCTTATTCCCTTTTTCTTATCATTTTTTAATATGCTGTACAGTTTACTCATTTATTATTTAGACTTCCCCTCCCTATTAGAATGAGGCCTGGATCCTTTTTTGTTCATTAATATATTCTAAGAGCCTAAAACTGTCCTTGGCACATAGTAGTCACTCAATAAATAGTTGTTCAATAAATAAATGAATTGGGGCCCATAAACCATACTTTCCAATTTAAAAACAAGGAAAATCAGCCATCTGAAAAGTTTTGTTTTCAATAAAGGAGGAAATATCACCAAATCGATTAAATCAGTTATTTTAAAAATTGACCCATCAGTTTAGAGCAAAAATGTCCAGATGCTGACCTTTAAAACCAACAATAAAAATACTGTGTGCTTGAAAGGAAATGTTGAAGTCCTAATTAATGAAGGTTATTTCCAAGCTCTTTATATAAACACTGTAGCACCATTTGCTCTCTAACTTATTATGAATCTATTGGGCAACTGCTGGGCTTATGTACAAAAATAAAACACAAATATTTTAGGACCTGCAATTGGTTGCCAAAGTAGAGTTTCTCATTTCATTTTCATCTTTCACTCAGCCTTCTAAAAATGATAATTCTCTGCCTCACTGACAAGCCCACAGCCAAATGGAGTAGATGAATATTGTGTCATGGCCAGCAAATTCCCAAAGAGAGATCTCTTGCAGACCGTGGGAAGAGTATTTCTGAGCCACAGTCCAACTTTTGAAAGGTTTCTTTTGTCTCCCACAGTTCAAAGAGACCTTTAGAGGTCGACCTTCTTAAGCTATTCCCCCACCACATGCGAGCGCGCGCGCGTGCGCGCACACACACACACACACACACACACACACACACACACACACACACACACAAATGTCCCTTGGGGAAAAAATGTGAGCAGGAAACAAACAGAGGAAACAGCCTGTGTTCAATAAGCATTTATTAAGTACTTCCCATGTAATTAATAAATAAAACTAAATAATAAGCATGAGGCTAGGCATGAGGGATAACAATATGGATTGACTACATTAGAAGGAATGTTCAGGAGAAGAGACGTCAGTGACCTAGGCCTTCAGCCCAGTTTTCCCACCCACAAATGAGAGGGCAAGGGAAAATTTATGAGAAATTTTTAATTCATTCATTATTATTTACTGAGCATGTCCCAGGTCCTGTACTAGGACCTGGGGACAAAGAAGCAAATAAAATACAGCCTTTGTTCTCAAAGGGCTCCCAGTGTGATTGAGAAGACACAAAAAACCGAATGACAATCCTTTGTGGTGAGTGCCATAATGTAAGTACTAGAAGCAGTGGGAGCCAGAAAAAAGGAATTCATAAGGCAGCAGTTTTTAAAGTGCTCCGTGGACCTCTGGGAGTTCCCAAAAACTTTTAGGGGATCTGTCAGGTCAAAACTATTTTCATAATACTAAAACATTATTTGGCCTTTCATTATATCAATATTTGCACTGCTGGTGCAAATGCAGTGATACCAAACTGTACTAATAGTCATTGTACTCTTCACTGCCACACACTTGCAATAAAAATAATAATAAAGCAAAGAAGTCTCACGTAAGAATGTCTTTGATGAAGCAATAATTTTATTAAATCTTGGTCCTTGGTCAAATATCTTTTTAATATCCTATGTGGTGAAATGGAAACTACACATGTAAGACTTCTGTGCATACTAAAGATGTATGATGGTTGTCCCAGGAAAAGCACTTGGGTGATTGCTTGATTTCTGATCTGCTTTTTTCATAGAATACTATATTTACTTGAATGAACAACTGAAAAACCATGGCCGACAGTTTATCAAAATAAATGAAGTAATCCAGTCACTTCAAGGAAAACCACAAGAGTATTTGTTGCCAATGATAATATTTGAGCTTTCAAGAGAAAATCAGAAGTTTGGAAAACTTCTGTCATCATAAGCTTGCCAGCTTTCCAATATTTAAGAACTTTTCTGATGAGATTGGTGGTAATATTAACGAATGTAATTTTGAAAATATTGTATGAGTCAACATTGAGAAGATCTGCATACCTCAGTAAACCAATATTTTACAAACGATCAATGCATCAAGTTGCAAGATCATGTATGGATAAAATGTCCATTCAAAGTGCAAGTATGATAACAAAGTGTAAAATGCTCATTGATATGATTCTACGTTACAACTAATCTGTAACAAACTACCACTTATTGAGTTTTGGTGTAGTATCAAACAATACCCACAATTATCTACAGTACCTACAAGCTATTAAAATATCTCTCTTTTCCAATTACGAATCTGTGTGAGGTCAGGTTTTCATCATATAATTCATCTGAAACAATGTATCAAAGCTGATGGGAGAATCCAGTTGTTTCCTACTTAGCCAAACATTAGACCTGTATGAAGGTGAAACCATGGCATTCTTCTCACTAAATGTTTTGTTTTGAAAACAGTTATGTTTTCATAAAAATGTTATGTTACCATTATAGTGGTTTTATTATTTTTATTTTGAAAATGAATTATGTTTTTTATTTCAGTTGGAATTTTTAATATTGCAAGTATCAATAAATGTAATTCATATAAACATAAGTTCTTTGGGGGTTCCAATAATTTTTTTTATTTTAAAGCCTACAGCACCTGGTATTCCCAGGCGGTCTCCCATCCAAGTACTAACTAGGCCCGACCCTGCTTTCCAATAATTTTTAAGAGTGTAAAGTGTCCAGAGACCAAAACGTTTGAGAACCACTGCCCTACGGGAATAATTTTAAATGAGTTTAAAAGAAGCATCCCTCAACTATTTTCCTCAACTAGAGGAGAAAGCCCTGTAGTTCCCTGAAAACATTTGCTAGTTTAAACATGATTATTTATTTATTTATTTATTTATTTATTAGAAATTTTATTGGGGGACAGTGTGTTCCTCCAGGACCCATCAGCTCCAAGTCAAGTCATTGTTTTCAATCTAGTTGTGGAGGGCACAGCTCTGCGGCCCATGTGGAAATTGAACTGGCAACGTTGGTGTTATGAGCCTGAGCTCTAACCACCTGAGCCAACCAGCCGCCCCTAAACATGAGCATTTTAAAACAGATGCTAGATATGGGTTTGAATGCTGTTTTTACCTCATAACTAGTTCTCACCTCAAAACTATGCTGTAAAAAAACAACTAAAAAAAAAAAGGCTTCTGCTTGCTTGAGCTAATACCAAGGAGAGAAAGAATCTTGCTGCAGAAGGAAAAGAGTGGTCAAGTTTCAGGCTTTCGGTGGTCAAATCAATCACTCCATGGCTCCCTTTAACCAAAACACTTGGTGTTATATTTGAGTTAAAATAATTATTCAATAACTGATCACCACCAGCATCCTAAAGTGAAGCAGAGGCAAGGCAGGAATAGGCTGGTTTTATGGATTTGGCCTCAGGACTTTTTGTTTGTTTGTTTGTTGTTTTTTGGTTGTTGTTTTTTTTTTAGCAGGATCTAAGCTGAGCTCCTGTTCTTCTAGCCGACGGTCTGGGGGAAATGACAAGTCCTGTTTTTCTGGTTGAGTGCTGCATCCCCAACATATAGCATCTAAGACATTGCTTGACACACATTAGGCACTCAATAAATACTGTTGAATAAAGTCAAACTCCTTTACTATTACTGCAAAAATTAGACTGTCTCCCAACTGGCAGGGATCTAAAATAACTCAATGTTTAAGAGATGGATAGAAAAGAGGAAGCTTCCAAAAGGTTAGGAAATTGCAGGAATGTGTGCGAAAGAGAATGACCGTTGTTCTTTTTATCTATTGCAACTTGACATCTCAAAACTTACTACTTAAAACAATATTTTTTTTTCTATTTTATTGGGGAATTGGGGAAGGGGAACAGCCAAGTTGTTGTCCTTCAGTCTTAGTTGTGGAGGGCACAGCTAGCTCAGCTCCAAGTCCAGTCGCCATCCGTCCACCCATTGGCAGCTTGCTCAAGCTCAAGGTGCCGTGTTCAATCTTAGTTGCAGGTGGGCATAGCCCACCATCCCACGCGGAAGTCGAACCGGCAACCTTGTTGTTAAGAGCTCTCACCAGCTGAGCCATCCTGCCACCTTTTGGCAGCTCAGTGGCAGCTCAGCTCTGGGGCAGCTCACTGATCCATGTGGGAATGGAACCGGCGACCCTGTTGCTCAGAGCTCGCACTCTTAACCGACTGAGCCACTCGGCCGGTCCCAAAACAATAATTGTTTTATTATTACCTCTCACAATTGTTGGAGTTGTCTAGACTTAGGAATTTGTGGTCTCTTGTGCAGTTGCAGCCTCTTAAGTGGTCTCCCTGCTTCCAGAAAACTTATTAATACAGCAACCTGATGATCCTTCAAAAACCTGTCAAATCATGTTCCTGCTCTGTTTAACTCAAGGTGCTCACAATGACCTACAAGACTTACAGAATCTGAATTCTCCACCTTCTCCCCCATTCCTCTCTGACCTCCTCTGCCATCATTCATTCTCCCCCTGGCTTACTTCCCTTCAGTCATATTGGCCTATTTGGTGTTCTTTGAACATGCAGTCTCTTTCTTCAGAGCTTTTGCACTTGCTGGCTAGTTGCTTGGAAAGCTCTTACCCAAGATATCCATCCACCTGACTCACTCGCTTCAAGCCATTGTTCAGTGCCACAGTCTCAGTGAGGTCTTCGCTGACTCCCCTCCACCCATCACCCACTGTTTTGATAGCTAAACGTGGATGTTTTCCATACTATAATAGACTGGTTTTGAAAGCCCGCCATGAGTCTCCACGTTGCACATCAGGGACATAGAAAGCCCTGGCGATCCCTACCTAGCCTACCAAGGTATTTGGTGATTTCTCCACTGGCTAACCCGAAACTGTGGCTCCCAGTGAGCGTTCTTTTCACCGAGGGGTAGTCGGAACCAGGTCCTAGAATGAGAACTCTCTGAAGGAAGACAGTGACTTATTTCAATCTGGGTTCCAGGAGCCCTGCACTGGGAGGGGCGCTTAATGGGTGTTGGTGATTTGTGAATGAACGGAAAAAGCAATGACAGCCCCGCCTTCTCTCTTGAAGACGTGAGCGCTTCTGGTGCCCAATCTACCGCTCGGCGCTCGTCCCTTCTCCGCAGGCCTGCCCTGCGCGTCGCATCGATCGGCTCGGCCATCGCGCGCCTGCGCCCGTGGGCTGTCAGTCGGAGGCAGCGTGGGGAGAGCATTGGGAGCGGTTGCGGCGCGCCAGGAGCTGAGGTAAAGCTATGGCTTCTGCGCTGCCAGGTCGCCTTCGAGCTGGCTGGCGGGGTGAGCAGCGCGGTAGGGGCCTCCAGGCCCCGCTTCAGCTGAGCGAGGCGGCTCCTCGAACCCAGCCGAGGAGGGCCTGAGGGGGTGAGCGGGGGTGTGGAGCCCCAGAGTCACCAGCTCGAGTCCCTGCCCTACCCGGCCCTGGAGCCAGGTGTCCAAACTAGAAGGGAACTTGGGGAGAATCCGAGCCAACCACCTTGTGCAACAGATGGAGAAACGGAGTTTCAGGGAAGGAAGGATCTACTCCAAGTCACAGCAAGTGCGTCAGACTCAGGACCAGACGCCCTGAGCCCAGTGCCTGAATTCTTTCCGCTTCAGCCCTACATTATTATGCCTATTTTTAGGTGTATAGGTGCAAGGCAATGAAATATAAAGAGGAATGCAATAAGGTCCGGATAAGAGACCGGTTAGGATACAGTGTTTTAGCTTACCAATTTACAAATAGAGAAGGCAGTGTATGCTATGATGGAAGCATGCCTGAGATGTCAGGACCGCCTCCACTGCCTCATTGAGAGCAGGAACCTTAGACCCTAGTGACCTGGGTTCTGATGCACCTTCTGCACATATTTGAGCACGACTCTTAACACGGGTTGTTGTGAAGTTCAAAGATGCTCATTCTACAAACACTGAGTGTCTGGTGTTTGATGGGAATTGTGTTAGGTACTGGGAATACAGTGATGACAAATACAGCCCCTGCCTTCAAAGCACTCACAGGAAACAGACATTTAAATACATGCACATTAAAGCCTGTAAAGGCAGAAATGATCTGTACGTGGTGGAGGGGAAGCAACTCAGGGAAATGGGGTCGCTTCTACCAGTAGGGTGGGAAGGGTGGGAATGGCTTTTTAGGCAAGATGATTCATGAACTGAGTCTTAAAATCTGTTTCATAGGTGATTGTTAGGCACAGGAGAAAGGCACCTAGGAAGCAAAAATAGCAATACAGAGACCAGAATTATGGAACTGCATGGTTCAGTTGGCACAGGCTTTCCATGATCTACCCTCTGTCTAATAACACCAAACACTTTTATAGTGCTTGCTGTGAGATTGACATTGTTTTGTGTGCTTTACATAGATTAATTGATTTACTCTCCACATCAATCCTGTGAAGTAGAAATTGTAATTATCCTCACTTAGAAAATGAAAACTGAGGCATAGAAAAGGTATGTAGCTTGCCCTAGTTCACACAATTAATACATAGTAGAGCTGGAATTCAGACCCAGTCCATCTATAGTTCAAGGGGCTGTAACTTAACCACCAGGCTCTCTTCTAGGAACTGAAGATGCTGAGAATTTTAAATGTCGAGCCCCTGGTCACCTATCTAGAAGTGACAGAACCAGAACTCAAACTCAGGTCTTTTGACTCTGAAGGGTCTAATGCTCTTTTTCTTAATAACATCAGATGTGATGGGATTTATATAGTGCCAAATTGAAGTTGAATTCCAACCTGAGGCATTGCTTGCTGCAATCAAAATTACCATATCTTTAAGCGTGGATGTTGTGCAGGAGACTTCTCTCTGTGCCTTAGATATACTGAGTATAAGTGCTGCAGTTTAAATATTGATGTGAGGGACCTAGGACTAATCATAATTATGGTAAAGGTGCAACATTATTTGCCAGTTTGATGTTAAATAAATTCTTTTTCTGAACATTGCATTTCACACTTGTATTAAAAAGTTTACATCATTTGTTGTAAGTCAAAGGGTACTTTTATTTTAAATAAGTAAGGATTTATGACCTTTTACTGTGCCTCTGTGGTAGCTGCTGTAAAGAGATTCTTTTGACGGTCAAACAGGTTTATTTATTACCTTGAGTTTGAAAAAAGGAATTAGCCTGGTTTGTTTTTGCAATTGGGCTCTGCAATCTGGGTTCAGATACAAGCCTACATTTGTGTTTATAGTACTATCTTTCGTATTGGGAGTAATGAGAAGATGGGAGCAGGCAGCTGAATTATTGGAGGACTCTGAAGTCTTTTCATACTTTTCAGAGACCTTATATCTTGTATTTGTGCTGTTAATTTTAGCCAGAAGTTTTAAGAATATTTTCAAGGAATAAGAACTGAATCAGAAGCCCACTTGGTAAACTCTTACTGTTTTTCAAGAGTTAGCTCAAGCATACTCCTTATAAAACCTTTCCTGTCTTCTAGAAAGACTTAGGTGTTACCTTCACTATTTGCCTACTGCATCTTGAATGTGTTTCTCCTATGACACTAATGACGGTATACTGCCATTTACTGAGTTTGTCTTTTCCCCTTAATTGTGAGCAACCCAAGGGCAAGGGCCAGAATTTTTAAATTCTTATCCCTCCTCCAGCCCATCTTCCCAGGCTGGAAGTGAGAGTATATACTGGTAAGTAAGAGACTATGATAAAGGTAATGTTTATGCTGCAGCTGAGGAGCCTTTATGATTTTGGTTGTTGGAATTGGAAGTGACGTATTTGACATAAGTGGGTATCAATAACAAATAGAAATAGGGTTAGTACTGTGTATGCTTCGATTTTTGTTACTTTTTTCCCCTGTTAATTGTTTTTCTCTGTGATTGCAGTTTGTAAAAATGGAATTTCAAGCAGTAATAATGGCAGTTGGAGGGGGATCTCGGATGACAGACCTGACTTCCAGCATTCCCAAACCTCTGCTTCCAGTTGGGAACAAACCTTTAATTTGGTACCCATTAAACTTGCTTGAGCGTGTTGGATTTGAAGGTGAGCTATGGCAATGAGATGCACTCATAAAACTTTTAAACTGTTTCATCCCAATGATTTGTCTGTTTTGTGAGGGTGAGAAAGGACGAATGAGAGAAGCCTAGGACTCAACATTGGCTGGAGACTGGCCTCTTGAAATTAGGAACATAGATGTACTCTATTGCTGTGTGAAAAAGGTTGAGAAGATAGCACAAAATGTTAATATTTTAGAGCTGGTCTCCACAGTGATCTAAAATGAACCCTATAAGGATATCAGAAAGAGCTGAGTAGGAATCCAAGTGCCTCATAGTCACTACTTATTGTGAATCTATATGTACCAAGTAATATATTAAGCACTGGAGTACAGAATTGAAAAGATAATTCAGGTCCTGATCTCCACTAATGAAGAGATACACATATAAATAAATTATCATTGTGTAATGTGGCAAATGTGTGACATTGTGTAATGTGCTATTCATTTTATTCATTATAAAGTGTAAGGGAGATAGTGACAGAGATAAGCAGAGGTTATGCTATAAAGGGCCTTGTATTCCATGCTGAGAAATTTAGATTTTTTTCCTGAAAGCAGTGGGAAACCAGTGAAAGGTTTAAACAAAGGTATAATGTGGTTAGATTCGTATATTTGCTATTCTAAGTCCTTTATATCTTTATATAAATTTTAGAATCAGCTTATCAATTTACACAAAAAGCATTGCTGGGATTTTTTTTCTTTTTTTAAAGATTTTTATTGGGGAATCAGGGAAGGGGAACAGACAAGTTGCTGTCCTTTTGTTCTTCAGTCTAGTTGTGGAGGACGTCGCTTCACTGGCCCATGTTGGTATTATCATTGCGCTCTTCCCAGGTGAGGCAGATCGGTCGCCGGCCTCTGGACGGCCACTCACGCTGGCTGTCAGCCACTCACGGTAGCTCATGGCAGCCCACTGTAGCAGGAGCTGCAGCCTACACCATCGCCAGCAACTCATGGCAGCCCAGCTCCAGGTTGAGCTGTTGTTCACCATCTTAGCTGAACAGGGCGCAGTGCCACTGGCCCTCGTGTGGGATCCGAACCGGGGCCCTGCTGCTCAGAGCTGGCGTCCCAAGCCAACTCTTAACCAACATGTCACTTGGCCAGCCCCGTTGCTGGGATTTTGATTGGGATTGAATTGATGAGTGTGGTGTATATCTTCATTTTTTTAGGTCTTCTGTAATTTCAATAATGTGTTATAGTCTTCAGTTACAGGACTTATATACATATTTTATTAAATTTATCTATAGCTATATATATATATGTGTTTATATTTATATATATTAGATTTTATTGGGGAATTGGGGAAGGGAACAGTGTTGGGGAATTGGGGAAGGGAACTTTGTGTTTTTCTAGGACCCATCATCTCCAAGTCAAGTTGTTCTTCAGTCTTAGTTGTGGAGGGCAAAGCTCAGCTCCAAGTCCAGTCGCCGCTTTCAATCTAGTTGCGGGGTGGGGCGCAGCCCACCATTCCTTGCAGGAGTCGAACTGGAAGCCTTGTTGTTAAGAGCATGCGCTCTCACCAGCTGAGCCATCCGGCCGCCTGTTGGCAGCTCAGCGACAGCTCAGCTTGGGCATAGCTCACTGGCCTATGTGGGAATCAAACCGGCGACCCTGTTGCTCAAAGCTCATGCTCTAACCAACTGAGCCACCTGGCCCTTATCTGTATATTTTTTATACTATTGTAAATGGTAATTGTTGTATTCCAATTTCCAGTTGTTTGTTGCTAGTATATAAAAATAACAGTTTTTCTTATACTGGCTTTTTATCCTGCGACTTTGCTTAATACACTTATTAATTCTCATAGCTTTTTGTGGATTCCTTAGGATTTTCTACAATTTGACCTAATTGACTTTTATGGAACATTCCACCCAGTAAAACAGAATATACATTCTTTTCAAGTACTCAGAACTTTTATCAAGGCAGATTATATTTTTTGAAATAAAACAGGTCTCAATAAATTTATAAGAATTAAAATCATACAAAGTATATTATGTGACCACAGTAGAGTTAAATTAGAAATCAAAAACAGAAAGATATCAAGAGAATCCTTAAGTATTTGGTGATTAAACCACATACTTCTACATAAACCGTAGGTTAAAGAAAAAATCCCAAAGGAAATTAGAAAATATTTTGAACTTACTGAAAATGAAATAATTGTATAAAAATTTGAGTGATTATAGCTAAAACAGTGTTTAGAGGAAAATCCATAGCATTAAGCACTATGTTAGAAAGGAAGAAATGAACCTCAAATTATCATCTAAGTTTCTACTTGGAGAAACTAGAAAAAGAGGAGAAACAAATGAAACCAAAATAAGTAGAAGAAGGAGATTTTTTTTAATGGTAAGAGCAGAAATAAATGAAATAGAAAACAAAAGCATTAGAGAAAATCAATAAAACCAAAAGCTGATTATTTGAAAAAAAATTAATAAAATTGTTAAATCTCTAGTCAGAT